ATTTAAGCAAACATAGTTGGTAGGGAGGGGGGGCGGCTAGTAGTAGTAGTAGTAGTAGTAGTCGTAGTCGTAGTCGTAGTCGTAGTAATAGTAGTAGAAGAAAAATACGAGTAACACTAGCACGAAAATCTACAGGAGTTCTCCCTGAACCATGCGCATGCGAGCAGGTTTGCAGCACAAGTCCTCGGCTATATAGCTCGACGAGCTGCTGCTGCGCCTTATGCCCCAGGTTCCAGGAGGGATACATGCTAAAGGGAGAAAATGGGGATTATGTTCCCTTATTCCCTACTAAGCCCAGTAAGCCAAGGATGTAAGGCCATAGAGTTTAAGGCCAAGGGAGGACAATAACATCTGTGACCCGTCGTGTAAAACAATGCTTTACGGTGTTGCAGGGTGCAAGTGGCAGCGGCTGCCGTAGAGTTACTGGTATGGTACTGTAACTCGCTGAAAGCAACTCAGAACGGCGGAAAAAAGCTGCGAGCTCAATTGAAGGCCAGAATCATGCAATCCTCGAAAGACATCAAGCAAGCCTCGCATTGTGGTCCAAAGACCTGTAAACCAAATATAAACCTATAACATCCTACAACACCATATAAAATGCAGGGAGCCCCAAACCCTAAACCCTGAACCTTGGGCTCTGCCAGCTTGCAAACCGGGGCCCCCACTTGCTTTTCTGGGCTGCAGCTGCCTTTTGGCCTGCCTCCAGAGCAACACGCTTTACAGGGGGTTATTCTGATCTCTTCAAAAGACTCTTCATAAAAGGAGATCATATAACCCAATAACCCCATATAGTAATAGTTTCCATTTTCTTTTCCATTATCTTCAAAAAAGGGGATCCAAACTTAGTCCATGCTGTTGAAAAGTCCTTGTGATCTGAAGAGGGTTTAGGGTGTTTCGAGGAAGGAAGATGAGATCTAATGCATGGGATATTCCTTGAATGCATGGACTTTGGAACCTCGAGACTGTGACCCTCCGTCCTACTCACTCATAACACGAAGTCCGAAGGCTTGACACTTACCCACTTACCAGAAACTGCAAGTGACGAACTGCGACGCCCTAACCCCAAGCCAGCGTAAACCCTGCACCCTTCACTGAAAAATCTCTGATCCAGAACCCAATAGACCTTAGTACAACGGAATACACTAATTCTCAAAGTATAGATAGGCATTTAGGGTCCTCTACTTGGAGGGTCAGGGGGACTTCCAAACTAGGTTGATGGGAGGGATAACTGGTGTTACTATACGGCTTAAAGGGGTTCTAAGTATACTTACTACAACGTCGCCCTGACCCTCCAAGGAGGATTTTGATATGGTAGTTTTCCTAAACAGGGGGACCCCAATATAAACCCCAAAAGACTATAGTCCTTCTTAAGGGGACCCCAAAAAAGGTACCCCTAATTTTGGGAAACCCTCATATCTGTCGTAGCACCAGCCTCAGAGATCTCAGTCTCCACCGGCAGCTCCGAGACCACAGATACCAGCGCCGGCTGTGGCATCTTCAGGAGCTTGGAGTGTGTAGGACAGCCTACTCCTGCTTACTGGGGGCTAATGTAGTAGGGAGTATGGGAATATCTTATATAGAGATTATAGGGATTATGTTCGCTTCTTCCCTACTGACCAAAAGTAAGCTTGAATCTGGGGAGTGAGGAACCTAACTATGGCTTAAGGTTTATCGCTTAAGGGTTAGCGCTGTTTGGATAGGTTGCGCCTATTGAAACTCTCTCGTTCCAGTTCCCAGTTCA